GTCTCTCTTTACTAGAACTCACCACTTCCTCTTTATTTGTTACTTCACAATAGCACTGCCTCCTGCTTTTTGTGGTTTATTGTGGCTTTATTTTATTAAATAATTGTACATTATGCTAACGTAGTGTACCTATAATCTTAATAATGACAGGAGGCGAGTATTTTGCATAAACTTTCTTTTTTTTTTTGAATATTTAATCTTTATTTTAAATTTTTTTCTTTTAAATCTCATTAAATACATATGTCATACAAATACAAATATCATACAAATATACATTTATAATACAAAAAAACAACACAGCAGCAAAATAGGGGAGGGAGGAGAAAAATACATCAAAAAGACTTCCATCGTAGAGTGGTAATATCATTTAGATAAGTCTCATAATTATTTACAATGTTCATGGAATTATTCTACTACTAATTGAGCGACATTATTTTATACATCAATCATCTCAATACACTTTGACCAAACAGAAATCTTATTGCTTAATCTTTGTTTACTTAGCATCAGCTCCATTCTAATCTGAAACTCGAGTTGAATTTTGACTTTCTTCCAGGGGACTTCTGAATCCCTTTTCCACCATCTCGCAATTACTATTTTAGCCGCTAAAAACAGATGTATAAGAATTGCTTTTAATTCATATGTCATATGAGGCCAATTTAGATGAAGTAGAACTACCTCTGGAGAGATTATCAACTCGAGTTTTAAATTGTTAGATATAAAATGCTGCATTTTCAACCAGAGATTTTTTAATTTATAACAATCCCACCAAATATGTCTAAAATTGCCTCTAATACTATTGCATCTCCAACAGATAGGATTTACTAGAGGGTAAATTTTATTCAATTTAGCTGGTACTAAGTACCACCTATTTAAAACTTTAAAGTGCGTTTCTAATAAATTTAATGAATGTATATTCTTCTTAACATCCATCATTGAAGAACCCCATTGATTCAGATTTATATCGATATTCAAGTCTTGTTTCCAAGCCTGTATGGCAGTAGGATTTGTGTCTTTAGCTATTGATTTAATTAGTATTAGAGCTTTGGAAAGTGGTTTATTGACTTTTTTTGATGTAAATAATAAATCTATCGAATTGCTTAGATTAGATTTTGGTATTATAAGATGTGTATTAATATAGCTTTTAAGTCTTAGAAAATTAAACACCTCTCTAGGAGGGAGATTATGTATCTCTGTTATTTGAGCAAAGGTTTTAATTGATCCTTCTGTCAATAATTGGTCCAGAGTCGTTATCCCTACTTTTTTCCAATTATTTAAGTTTAAATCTTCCACTTGTTTTTCTACAATGTCTAACTCTAAATAACTTGGAACTTTTTTTCCTATATTCATTACTTTTTGAATTTTTAACCAATTTTCCAATAATTGAGTTAGAATAATACTGGCATACTCTTTTTTCTTTGACATTTTATTTATATTCCAAATTAAACAATCTAAGCTAGAAACTTCTCCTGCCTTCAATTCCATTTTATACCATCCCTCATCTTTATTTTCTTTCATTTGCATTCTATTAACATGTAGAATAATAGCCGCTTTAAAATTATTCATTATGAGTGGATAATCAAGTCCACCTTTATATATTTTCTGCAATAATATTGACTGTTTCAATCTTGGCTTCTTGCCTTTCCAGATGTATTGAGTAAAACTTCTTTGTATTAATTGAAGCCAATGGATTGGAATATGGAGAGGTAACATTTGAAACATATAATTCCACTTTGGTATAACGTATGAATTGATAACATTTATTCGCCCCCAAAAGGTAATCTCTAGGTTTCTACGATCTTTTAACCATTTATTGAGATCTAATAATAATGTTAGGAAATTTACTTCCATGATCTTATTTGTCTCTCTGGTTATTTTAATTCCTAAGTAATCCATACTTTCTTTAACCCAAATAAAATCATATTTGTTTTTAATCTCTTGTTGTATCTTTTTATTTAGGTTAACATCTAATATCAAAGATTTATTTGTATTTAACTTATAATTTGATATAAGGCTGTATCGCTCTATTTCTTGCATTATGCGTTCTAAGGAATTTTTAGGGTTTGTAAGAGTAATTAAAATGTCATCAGCATATAAGCTAATTTTTTGGTCCTCATCCATTATTTTATAACCATGGATCTCTTTATTATTCCTAATATTCTCAGCCAATGGCTCGATAGTCAGCAAGTAGAGCAATGGTGAAAGGGGACAACCCTGTCGGGTACCATTTCTAAGTTGGAACCATGGGGCGACAATATTAGGTCCAATAGTTCGTGCAACAGGATTTACGTATAGTGCCATTATAGCTTTCTTAATCCAACCTTCCAATCCATAATGTTGTAAATATTTCCAGCTGACTCTGTCGAATGCTTTTTCAGCATCAATCGACAGAGTCAGAACTGGAACATCATATCTATTTGCGTCATCCAAGATATTAATAATTTTCCTTATACTTGTATAGGAATTTCTACCTGGAACATATCCTATTTGATCTTTGTGGATGATTAGTGGAAGAAGTTTTTTTATTCTGGCAGCCAAAACCGAAGCGTATAACTTAGTGTCAACATCTATTAAAGATATCGGACGATAGTTTTTGATATCAGTGGGGTTTTTATCGTTTTTTAGAATAGGCAAGATATTAGCTTTAAGCATCTCTGCTGGTAAAAATCCTCTGTTTGCCGCTATGTTGAAAGCAGAGGTCAAATGTGGGCATATTAAATCTTTAAATGTTTTATAAAATAGGTTGCTAAACCCATCCGGGCCCTTATTGGAAGCTTGAATTATAAGTGGAAATCTTTTACCTCCCCAATTTTGTTTATCCACTTGTCTCCAGTGAGTTTCTTGTAAGAATATTAAATTCAATTGTTTTTCACTGAGGTATTTATACAATAGATTTCTTTTCGCTATAGTATTCAATCCCTGAACATTAAGTGTAAACATTTTTATCATATTATCTTCAAAAACCTCCCTGCATTCCTTTCCACTCGATAACCGTTACCCTTCCCTATTGCTGCATAAACATATCTGCACAAACACACAAAACAAAATATTAAAATCATAGGAGGAAATCCTCCTTTTTTATCACAAAGACTGTAAATTTTCATATAGAAATTCAGTCTTTACTGTGTCTTTAAATTAGACACTAAGTGGGCGTATCCAGAAAGAGGTAGTAATATTTACAAATTTGCAATCCCTCTCCAAGATGGAGAGAAAAAAAAGAAAAAAAAAAAAAAAGAAAACTCTTTTATACTTAACTCCATTAACTTTCAATTCTGTATCTTAAGTGAATCTATATCTTCTTATCTTACCAATACATATGAATAATTTACTTTTAGCCACCTCTTTAAATTAGAAACTGATTAATACTTAAACATATTTGCTTTTATCTACTTTTTTCCACATAATTAGTTAGTACCCTTAAGGTGAGAACAACCAACAATTACATCAATAAACCTGTTAATTATTCATAAAATAAAAAAAAATAATAAAAAAAAATAACAAAAAAAAAAAAATTTCTTCCATTATTTTATACTTAGCTTCATTGCTCTGTGATTCTTTACTTTAAATAAATCTATTTCTGTTTAACTTACTAATACCTGTGAATAATTTTCTTTTAACCACCTCGTTAAGTACAAATCTGATTAATATTAATACTTAGACATGTTTACTTTTAAGTCCTTATGTTCCACATGCTTACATGCATATACCTAATTATTTAGTACCCTTAAAGTGAAAACAGTCACCAATAACATCAACAGATTAGCAAATTGTGCAATGCGCAATTAAGTAGTTCTATATAAGTGAGGACAACAAACAAAAAAAATAAAAACATTTCTTCCATTATTTTATACTTAGATCAGTTACTCTGTGATTCTTTACTTTAAATAAATCTATTTCTGTTTAACTTACTAATACCTGTGAATAATTTTCTTTTAACCACCTCGTTAAGTACAAATCTGATTAATATTAATACTTAGACATGTTTACTTTTAAGTCCTTATGTTCCACATGCTTACATGCATATACCTAATTATTTAGTACCCTTAAAGTGAAAACAGTCACCAATAACATCAACAGATTAGCAAATTGTGCAATGCGCAATTAAGTAGTTCTATATAAGTGAGGACAACAAACAAAAAAAATAAAAACATTTCTTCCATTATTTTATACTTAGATCAGTTACTCTGTGATTCTTTACTTTAAATAAATCTATTTCTACTTAACTTACTAATACATGTGAATAATTTTCTTTTAACCACCTCGTTAAGTTCAAATCTAATTAATATTAATACTTAGACATATTTGCTTTTAAATCCTTATGTTCCAAATGCTTGTGTGCATATACTTAATTCTCAATTGACTAGTAGCTTTAAAGTGAAAACAAGCCCCAATAACATCAACAAATTAGCAAATTGTGCAAAGCACAATTAAGTGATTCTATATGAGTGAAAAAAAAAAAAAAAAAAAGTTAGTTTTTTTTTCTTTCATTCCTTCCTCTCTCCCTCCTCTCTCTTCTCCTCTCTTCTCTCTTCCTTCCATCTTCCTCTCCGCCGCAACAGACCCTTCAAGCTTTTTTATTGATACCTGTTAACCAACTATTTGCTTCATTTGCATCCAAAAAAAATTTTTCTTTCTTGTTTCCAAGTAAATCTTAAAGATGTTGGATAGGCCCATTGAAATCTGATCTCTGCTTTTCTTAAAAAATCCGTCACGATAGAGAAAGATTTCCTCCAAGTCCTGGTGTGATAAGATAAGTCTTGCAAAAAAATTATGTCTTTGTAAATAGAATTTATTCGGGGTTTAATACGGCTGGCTTTCATTAAATTATTTTTCAATGATAATGAGGAAAAACTCACTATTACATCTCTTGGGAGATGTGAGGCTATTGTATCTGGTTTATGTATTCGGTGAAAATTTTCTATTTTATGTTCATCTGTAGGTATTTCTGGTAAGACTTCTTCAAATAAATTATTTAAATATTCTCTCAGTTTTTCATTGGAGATTTCTTCAGAAACACCTCTTATTCTGATGTTTCTTTTTCTTGATCTATCTTCCAAAGCTGCTATTTTATTTTCAAGATTATCAACTTTATTTACTAGAAACTGCACCTCCGTATTGATTACTTTAATTTGAGTTCCAAACACTTCACATTTTTTTTCCACTTCCACCACTGATACTGCAACATTTTTAATTTCTTGTTTTATCTCATTGAAACTTGCAAGCATTTCTTGTTTCAATATATTTAATTGTAATTCCAACATTTGCTTAAATTGATCTTGGATACTGATTGAAGCAATTGCTTGAGCTTCTGATGGAAATTGGTTAAGTGGAACTTCTTGGATAATATTGGAAGTATTACTTGGGTGTGTCTTACTATCAATTATCTGTTCTTGCAGATCTTTAATAGGAGTAGCAAAAAAACCTGACAACCTCTTTTCTGTTTGTTGAACTGACTTAATTTCTTTCTTTTTTTCTGTTGTTTTCCTGGTTGACATTTTGTTTTATTTCTTAAGTGCTTCTCAGTAGCAAATTATAGCTAGGTATCACATATGAAGTTTTAACTTTGAACTTAAAGAATTAGATTAAATCAATTGATCAAATAATCAGATACTTAATGCCAGTCTCCTCCAACGAAAAAAAAGATTTCCTTCCACTTTTCTTTTTTCCAAGCCAGTAATTATATACAGGTATGATGCCTTACAGTAATGTTTTAGTAAATACAGAAGTACTCACAGTTTTTATATAAAGCTGTTTGGGGGATCACTGAGGGATGTATTTTCCTCCTTTTCCCTTTATTTCTCTCTTATTCTTTCTTTCTTTGTTTCTTTTTTCCTTTTCTTCCTTTCTTCGTTTTTTGTTTAGTAATTTATACAGGAACTGTTTTTATTTCTTCCTTGACCTTTTTAACGGTCTATGAGGGAACCGCCACTATTTGTCCAAACGGAGGCAACAAACCCCCAGCAAAAACCGGCATACACCACCACTCCAAACCAGGTCCACCGACCCACCGAATCCTCACCGAGCCCTCCCTCCACTTCGTCCACTTCGATCTTCACCAAGCCGGACCACACTCACAAAACGGCACGGAGCGGCATTGCTTGCTCTCGTCTCCGCGTCCTCTCTCCTCAACCTCCCTCCGGACACTCCCACCTAAAGCACGTGCGGCGTCTCACGTCATCACGTCCCCCCGGGATGGCACTCCAGAGCCAGCATGATTCAAACACAGCCCTGGCCAATCAGCATCTCCTCATAGAGATGAATTGAATCAGTGAATCTCTATGAGGAAAAAAACTTGCATAAACTTTCTTTACTTTTACTCCAGCAACAAATCTCAATATAAAGAATTAACCAATCAGAATGAAGAGACACAGAGTATATAAGTCTAAGTCCGCCCACACACTTCCTCTTTCTTTGGTGCGAAATGTATGGATCAATCAACTCCAAACGTAAGAACGGAAAACAAGGACATGGAACCATCAGAGTCGATCCCTATAAGGAAAAACAGGCAGACAACAAAGAAAACCCCTGTGAACAAAATAAGATACATATATGGGTGGGACAGAAGAAGAAAGAATATGGAGGGCAAATACTCACATCCTGTCATTATTAAAATTAAGATTATATATATATATATATATATACATATATATATATATATATATATAATTTTACTTCATGACAGGAGGCTTCCTATTTTTCATTTTTAACACCTGAGAAAGAAGAGCAAAAGAAGCATGAGAAGAAGGGCAAAAATAGAAAACACGGAATGTTTCGTCGTGTGACCTGTCAGCTGAACGCATGGTGTCAGCAAGCGATGAACCCAACGAAAATGCCTGCAACTCAGCCGCACCGCGTACCAAATGCACTCCGAAAGAAGATTCAACGCCAGCTAAGGATAGAAGCCAACGTACCCATCTGGCCAAAGTAGTGGCCGATACCGATCGGGAGGGTAGAAGAAGGATGATGGTGGGTTGTGTCTTGAACCGGTGGACCAGAAATGGCTGGTGGCCCGTCCAAAAACACCCCTCGCCAGAGGTGAGCGGAACACCTGTCGTAGGGATGACTGTGCTTTATTGAGGGTCGTGAATAATGACACGTGTCTTTTCATTTCAGCAATAAATGAGTCGCCAGATAGGAGGCCATTTGCCGTTGGGCCCAATTCCTTGGAAGCCATATTTATCACTTTCGTATCAATGCGTAGGAGGGCAGCCCTGCGCCTTTCGATATATAATGCGGCATTAGTGTTGCCAAGTATGCAAATGCCCCTTTGGGCCCATTCACGGATTGCACCTGGGTCAAGTTGAGTACCTTGGGCTACTGCAAGTTCTGCAAAGTACAGTAGCTTGCCTAGTGGACCTAGTAGGTCTAGCAACTTATCTTGTGCCGCTTTGAGCCCTCTTTCGATACCCTTGCGAGGGTCTCGTCCCGTCCGGGACATGAACACCACCATTGTCTAGTCAAATACCGGAGTCACAGCGATCTTGTCCGGGAGGGTGGGTCAGGGGCATTGCGCAAACGAATTCGTACTACACGGTCCAGTGGCTTCCTGAGCCAAAAATGTATGAACTTTGCCAGGTGTGGCTCCATTCAGAGGACCGGCCTCTTCGGGGTCTCAGGTTATCTAGATCTCCTGCTCCTATTTATTTTACATCCTGGGATGTGGGTCTCGTTACATAACTGGCTGGATAATGTCTATTTGTCTCTTCAACAACTGTCAGCTTAATTCACCCTCCTATTGTGTCAAGTTTCTTTTCAATGCATTTCCAGTGTGGTGCGAATTACCTTTTCTGTCTCCAGACATACTAAGTTGGATTCCTTATCGGTCTTCTTCAGACGATTCTTCTTGCATCCTTCTCATGCCTCTTATGCTTTGTTAGCAGAGTGTTTAAACAGCAAAATATTTGTAGATTATGCTTGCTTCAATGTACATATAATCTTCATGTTACTAATGAGAGGATGTGAATATTTTCCCACCCTTTCTTCCCTAAACCTTACTGGTGTTAAGATCCAGGTCGGGTATATTTGTCTTTGTATTTAGTTTGATGTTGTAATGTTCATCTTGCTTTCGTTCAGGTGTTGTATACATATGGTGTATTATATTATTCGCTCTGTTGATTTTGCATAATTGTCATACCCATTTCTTTAGCTAATCTTGGTTTTTGATTCTTTTTTTCTATCAATTCAGTTTGATTTTTGATTCCCAGTGTTTTTCCTGAGGAACCATTGTTTTCATTTAAGTTTTGAAGATTTCACATGAATTCTTTTTTTGTGTTTTACATTACCATTGTTGACTGTTAGCTTACGGAACATGTTTATCTATACTATTTGTTGTTTGTAACTTGAAAGAGGAAATGCTAGAAGAGGAGCTTTATTTACTTTGATGTTTTCTGATATAGACCTTCAATACAAAACATGATCATTGTATTCAAAATCACGAAAATTGCATGCTTTCTGAGTTTATGGGTTTATATTGTATACACATCAACAACTGTTTGCAAATCCTTAATAAAATCTGCATAGAGCATATTTATACATAATCACTGCTTGTTGATTAAGATGTCACTGCCCACTCATGTCCCTCACATGCTCACTTTAAATTCCTCTGCCCACATTGTGCCTCTCTTAAATCCATCTACTTCAGCCTCCGCTACCAGGGCCGGACTGGGTATACAAAGCAGCCCTGGAAAAAAATAAATATATATATATATATATATATATATATATAGCAAAATACAAATAGGTTATGGAGGGGGGAAATTGTGATTGAAAACCCCTTCCACCTCAAGTCTGTGGATAGTTAATACAATGTTAAACAAAAATCTGCACACCAGTCAAGCCATAAGACTTGCTTTTCCCACAGAAATCAATGATGTTGCTACTGCAAAGGATTCTGGGTGGGCATATGCAATTAGTTTAACAAAGAATCAAATTTTTGCCTCATTCAATTTTAAACACGGATTCCTTTAAATCTGTGTTTGCTGTATACAACAGCTTTGAAACATGTGTGCAGGTAGTGGTTACTGTGTAGTGCGACCAATCTTCTTTACCAACCAATTTCCCCCCAATAAAACCTGAGACATATTTGTGGTATAAAACAGGTGACCGCTTTATTTATAAATTAACAAATATTATTTTCAACCAATAAATAACATTATTAACCATATCAACATGATATGTATTTGTTAACCGCAGACTCGTCCTTGTCAAACCATTCCATCACCAAATCAGAGTACTCCTGGGCACCTACCCTCCCTCCTCGTTCAAAACACCACCTGACCTCCAAGTTGGCCTTAACTTACCATTGTGCTAACCACTGGCCGACCTTTTGGCTCAGTGGGCACATCCGAATGTCCAAACATTTACCAGAGGTTAGGGGAGGGACCAGACCCAACCTTTCTTCTTCCCCCTGTACTCTTCCTCCAACCCGGCTTGGCAAGGACCATACCCACCAGCTGCGACAAGAGAACAGAGTTAGTAACATATAGAAAAACATCAACTAAGGGAGGGTGGGTGGGAAGCTGTTACCAAGCAGTTATTTTAAGATGGCTGAAGTCAGGAGGCAAAATGACTGCCTATTTATATAGTCCAGCCCCTTATCCATTTCCTTTACCACTCCCCAATTTTACACCACACATGCCTCTTCCGGCTAGCTTTCAGCCCGCCTCCTCAGGATCTCAACTTGGGAAAATATGCAAAGCCAGTAAACCACTCATGGACAGCTGTTCCATTGTTAATGCAAATCATCAGTATGAGGCTGGTTACGGGTTTGCTTATTGTGGCCTCAATAATTGCGGTAGTAACATCACTGCAGATTTGTGATTTCTGTGGGAAAAGCAAGTCTTATGGCTTGACTGGTGTGCAGATGTTTGTTTAACATTGTATTAACTATATATATATATATATATATATATATATATATATATATTATTGGTATATTTATTTTTCTAATTTAAAATATTAGTCCTTTCAGGGTAATTAACTTATATAGTAAAACATACTCACATGCAGACACAGACAATCTTACTGACACAAGCTCAATGATACACAGGCTCACAGACAATCTCATTGATATACCCAGACAAGCTTACTAGTACACACACAAATTTAGTACAGACAAACTCTGATACACACACAAGCTTACTGCAGACAAGCTCACAGTCCCAGACACATGCTCACTACAGACAAGCTCACTGACGCGCACACACTCTCCCTACAGA